AATCATAAGCTATGATGCTCATCTGTAATGTGTTTGTGCACTGTGTATGTGCAGTGCCTATGGAGGGCAAACGAGGGCATCTTTTCTTGCAGCTGGAGTTAGGCAATCTTGCAGCTGGAGTTAGGCGTTAATTGCCAAGCCGTCTCTCCAATCCCTATACTGAGTTTTTCGTGCCTTTTCTTTTTCCCTCCCTACCTAGCAGACTGGAAAATATTCAGAACATTTGAGGAAAACATTTTAAACATAGGCTAGGAAAATACTTGAGTGGAAATATTTGTCTAACATGCTCAAGACCCTAAATTTGATGCCCAAAACAGAAGGAAAAAGAAAAATCAGGGAACTCAGACTTGCTTGGTTTCCTCCCCGTGCTGGGATCACAGGTGTTTGCCATCATGCAGAGGCTGACACTCTGGGCTCTGTGCACTCTACCAATGGAACCACATCCTAGCCCCAAATGTTTTAGCTAAAAAAAAAAAATGGCTAATGGCTAAATATCAAACAATCAAACAAAGAGCATCACAGTCCCAGAGGATAAAAAGAATATAATAATCATGATTTCACTTATGTTAATTAATTAAAGTTAATTCTTAAAAGCTGGACCTTATCCAAGGCTGGTGTTCCCTTCCCTGATTCATGTTGTTTTCTTCCCTTTCCTTCTCTCCTCTTCCCTGTTCCTCTCACTGACATTTTTTTTCCTTGCTATTTCCTTTCCCCTTTTAAATTATTCTTCTTAATATGCTGCTAGACTGGCCTCCCAGATTCAAGTCTTACAGACATATGGCGTCACCCTTGGCCTTGTGTTCTTGTGAGAAAAGGAATTGTGACCAGAGTGTGGCTCATACCCGTAATCCCAGAACTCAGTATGTCTAAGAAAGTCTGGGATACCAACCGTCCAAATAAATAAACCTGAAATTTGGACACTAACACACCAGGGTCATGTACTGGTGGAGGAAAGACCGTGTGAGGACCCAACAAGGGTGATCAGCTACAGCTCAAAGAAACCATCTCAGGAAATCATAGAAGATCTTAGCTCTTTGACTTCTAGGCTCTCAGACTATCAGAAATAAATATTTATCTGGGCACAGTAGTACACCCTGTAATCCCAGCTACTCGGGAGGCTAGATGGGAAAGTAAAGTTTGAAATCAGGCTGGCCAACATAGCAAAACTGTTCCCAAAATAAAGCAAAGGGCTGGGGACATACCTCAACAGCAGAGTCCTTGTCTAGCACGTACAGGGCCCCAGGATTAACCCTAATTTCAAAACCACACACGACATACAAAACAACCAAGTGCTGAGCCGCACTAATCTGTGATATTTTGATAAAATGGTCCTAGTGAATTAATATACTACCTCCAAAATTTTACTTATCATTTATATTATAAAAATTTGTTTTTCATCTTAATATATAGTTAAAAAATTCTTGCTAGGCAGTGGGGCTCGTGCCTTTATTCCCAGTCAGTAGTTGGGAGGCAGGGGCAGGCAGATCTCTGAGTTCAAGGCCAACCTGATCTACAGGGCAAATTCCAGGACAGTCAAGGCTACACTGTCTCAAAAAACAAAGACCAAAAATCTAGCAAGTTATATAAACTACTTAATATTAGCAGTTTTAGGACAGCAGGGCTACACAGAGAAACCCTGTCTTGAAAAAGACAGAACAAAAACAAAATTTTTGGAAGAATTTCATATATGCACACAAAGCATTTCTATCATCCAAAGTATTACTTAATCTTGTTTGTTGAACAAACAGGGACAGTGCTTTCATTTGTTCTTGATTGTATTAGTTGAGGACAGGGTCTCTCTATGTAGTGCATGCTGTCCTAAAACTAAAACTAAACCAGGTTGGCCTTAAACTCAGAGATCTATCTGCCTGCCTCCTGAGTCCTGAATTAAAGGACATGCGAAGATGAAGATGGGTGGGGTTCTTTCGTGGAAGATGGTAGATGGTAGATGAATGGATCAAATGGGGAAGGGGATAGTCATACGGAAGAGATGGCGCATGCTTAATAACATAGATGTTATCTTTTTTGAACAAAAATTAAGTTGGTATAAACAGTCTGTTGATTATGTTAATATATTGAATTATGTTAATAAGAGCTATATAATTGACATAATATGTGTAAATACATTGTTTACTATATGTATTTAATGTACTATGTGCATTATTAATACTGTATGGGCCACTATACCCGGTTTTCATTATGATCTTATCAAGAGCTAAGCATTATTTTATTAATATTTACATTTAATCCTCATAACAATCCTACTAAGTGTATAATAGTATCTTCATTTTATAGTGAAGAAATCAGGTACAAATAGGTTAAGTAATGTGCTCACAGTGAAAAGGTTAATAAATAAAAGAAGTAGGGTTGAGATCACATGAGAGAAACTATGTTTATTTCTGGAATATTTTTATCATCTCGTGTGTGTGTGTGTGTGTGTATACGATTTTGAATTTTTAAGATTCCAATTTTCAGGCTGGAAAGATGGCTCAGTGGTGACTGGTCACTCTTCTAGAGCATGTGTGTTCAATTCCTAGCACTCACGTGGTAACTCACAACCATCTGTAACTCCAGTCCTAGGGAATGCAAAAGCTCTTCTGGCTTAACAGGCACTGTGTACATGTGGTGTACATACATACATGCAGATAAACACCAATATGCATAAAAATAAATAATAATTTTTTTAAAGGTTTATTTTTATTTTGTGTGAATGACTGCTTACCTATATGTACGAATATACACCAAGTGCATGCCTGGTGATCTCGGAGGCCAGAAGGCATTGGTAATCTTAGCACTCAAAATGCAAACACAGAAGGATCACGAATTTGAGGCCAACATGGGCAATAAAAGACTGTCTAAAAAACAATAGGGCTAGGTATGATGGCATCATTTGACCACTCGGGAAGCAGAGGCAGAAGCAACCGCAGTTCACAGTCAGTCTCTGCTGCATAGAGAGCTGAACACCAAGCTAAACAAAACCCAGAAAGAAAGGAAGAAAAGAGGAGAAAAGAAAGGAAAGGAATGGGGGTATAGGCTGAAAAGGAGGCTCAGTGTTAGGTGTCCTGCTTGTCTTGTCAGCATGAGGACCTGAATTCACATAAAAAGTTGGGTTTTCTGGCCACCAGCCTGGCTCCAGGTTCAATTTGAGACTGTCTCAAAAGAATAAGGCAGATGGCAGTAGAGAAGGACTCTCAACATCCTCTTGTAGTCTCAAAACATATATGAGCATGTGCACATTTACATTCACAAACTAAAAATGAATTAATTAGTATAAAAAAATAGAAAGGGGCTAGAGAGATGGCTCAGCAGTTAAGAGCACTAGCTGCTCTTCCAGAGGAATTTGGAAATATTCAATTTCCAGCAACCACATGGTGGCTTACTCACTAACTCCAACCACAGGGTCGGGTATCTGACTCCTCTTCTGACCTCCATAGGCACAAGGTATGCATGTGACACACATATATACATGCAAGCAAAACACCCATACACACAAAATAATAAAGTGGAGTTTGTTTTGGTTTGGTGTTTTGGTTTTTTGAGACAGGGCTTCTCTGTGTAATAGCTCTGGCTGTCCTGGAACTCACAGAGATCTGCCTGCTTCCCAAGTGTTAGGATGAAAGGCCAGCACCACCTGATAAGGTGATCAGTTTTAGTCAGCAAATTTTAGTTCTTTCTGTCCTTACAAACTGTGGAGACAGACAGCACTGCATGTCAGCAGATGAGACCTGGACTCTCTCTGAGAGTCGGAACCTGAGCACAGAGGAGGAGGAAGTGTCAGCCGCCACAGCCTCTGAAGTGCATCAGGAGCTCACATGCTTTGCTCAGTTTTTGAAACAAAGAAATTTAGGGAAACAAGTATTGACATTTTAATAGTGATTGTTTTTATTTCAAATGTTCAGAACTAGAATGTTCCCGTTTTGCAAAGTTCTTTAAGGTCCCGTTTCCTGAATGCCACTAACAGGTTGTTTGCCTAAAAAGGCAGAAATTTAGATATATTAACTAGGTCCAGCCTCTTTTTGGGCATTTTTTTGGTTCTGGCTTATTAGCTCCATTTAGGCATTTTTTTTTTCTACAGGTGAACTATACCTTACACAAAAGGTTTAGGACTAAAAGTAGTCTAGATTTGAGCTTTTTCAGTTTTAGAATATTTGCAAATACACAGCAAGGCCTGGTAGTTCAGACCCTAGTCCTAGTCACTCAGGAAGCTGAGGCAAATAGGGTGAAAATTCAAGCCTAACTTGGGCTACAGAGTGAAGATGAGAGCAATTCTGTTTCGCTTCAAAACAAACACAGGGCTAGTTCAGTGGCAGAGCATTTATCTAGAGCATTTGGCTTCCACATCTAACATACATACAAAATGTGTGCATATACTAAATACTATGATCACTTAACACTTATACAATAGGGGAAAGTACTTTTATACATTGTTTTTATAAGATTAGACATGAAACTTTATTTTCCCCTTGACTTTTCGAGACAAGATTTCTTTGTATAGCTTTGGAGCCTGTCCTGGAACTCCCTCTGTAGACCAGGCTGGACTTGAACTCACAGAGATCCCCCTGCCTCCACCTCCTGAGTGCTGGGATTAAAGGCATGAGTCACCACCACCCCAGGTGCACGAAATTTTTTTCTCAATTGTGTCGTGTTGACACACAAAAAAATTTGGACATTGGGGCTAGAAGGAAATTTCTGGCTCAGTGTTAAGAGCACACACTGCTCTTGCAGAGGACCTGGACTTGGTTACCAGCACTTATGGAGTGGCTCACAACTGTCTATAACTCCAGTTCCAAGGCCGCTGTAGGCACTGTATGCACATGTTGCACACAGACACACAAGCACATACACACAAAGAAGTTTTAGACTGTAAACTGGATATGCATACCTATAATCCCAGAATCTGAGGCAGGGGAATGACTCACCAATGACAAGGCCCTCTAGGCTAGCCTGAACCATATGGACTACTTTAGTTTCAGGTGTTTACGCCCTGCTGAGTTCTTTACCTGGATGCTGCTCTCTTCATCCTCCCGGGGTGACTGTGCAGGCATGACTTCCACATCAGAGTTGTCAGAAGACGTGTTACGTTTTCTCTTCTTGCCCACGACTGGAGTGATGGTACTGAAAAAAAAAAAAAAAAAAAACGAAGGCAAAGATACCTTACGAGTGAGAAAAGCACGAATACAAACCATCACATACCAAACTTCCAGTCAGAAATATGTGGGTCTAAAGAAAATAAAAATGTTCGACACTCCAGTCTACAGTACAAATACTGCTGAGTATAATGTCTGAAAAAGACGACACTAGGGCTTGAAAGAGTAACCCAGGCCTGAAAGACACTTTGCTAAGGACCAAATAACAGAAATGAAGATGCATTTATTTTATGGGGAAGAAGTGTTTTGTCTACATATATGTGGATGCACCAGCTGCATGCCTGGTGCTGCAGAACTCAGAAGAGGGTCTCAGATCCCCTGAAATGGAGCTATAGATGATTGTAAGTTCCATGTGGTGCCTGAGAACTGAACCCCGGTCCTCAGCAATGGCAACAGGCATTCTTCTTGCTGAACCATCTCACCAATCCCCCCAAACCTGCCTTTTTATAAGGTGAAAAGTCATACAGCTACCCAGCTTGAAGAACACATACAGAGTAGAAGCCAATAAAAAAAAAAAAAAAAAAC